ATGCAACTCGCGTGACCGTGTCGAGGCCGCGTCAACATAAATCTCGGAAAAAAACGCCCCAGAAAAGCCGGCGTTGGCGCATTTGCCTGACGGGTACAATGTACACGCGCTGGATATATTTCAGTCGTAACATCGGCACAGTATCGTGTTCACCAGGCAGTTATTTGGATAGCATCAAGATCATGGAGGCTCGCGACAAGGACGCTGACGCGATCATGCGACTCAGGATCTAGCGCGCTCTCGATACCCATCGAGTAGGACTTCTCGCCACCTTACCACCATGGCTCAACCGGGCAAGATGGGCTCTACTTCGACAATATCGCTGAACCCTGCTATTATGGTACGTGCGAACGTAATATGAGTACATTCATCCACCTCATTGTACACGTTATAGGGCAAACTGAAGCCCGCTAAAATATATAAGACCGCGGTTGAGCCGGCACCAGCACCAATACCTGGTTCGCGGCAGCTATCCGGGCCGCGCCATATAACAGGATTGTCATTCGACGACAGAGGAGATCAGGTCATTACGGCTGGAGAGGATGATACGTTCCGACTATACAGTTGCAAGAACGGCAAGCACGTCCTACGTTTCGGCGCTTGTGCTCTCGCGTCTGCTGACGATCGTCACACAGACTTTTGAAGACACTTTACTCGCGAAAATACGGAGTCGACCTACCGCGCTTCACACACAAGAGCACAGCACTCATTCACGCCTCAACCAAAGGCGACGAGGACGCCGTACGCTACCACTCCCTCCACGACAACAAATATCTCCAATATTTCAGAGGTCATACAGACCGCGTTATATCGCTCGAGATGTCGCCAGTGGACGACAGTTTCATTTCTTCGTCCATGGACCGAACAGTACGACTATGGGACCTTCGGTCGCCTTCATGCCGTGGTCTACTCACACTTCCGGCACCCGCCGTTGTGGCGTACGACGCAACAGGCGCAGTCTTCGCCGTTGCAGTCAATCAATATTCGCGCATCCTGATGTATGACGTGAAGAACTACGACAAAGAGCCGTTCTTGACGGTCACTCTGGACGATCCCACACTTCGCCTGATCTCCTTCCCTCCACGAATACCATTCATGACTTCACTGTCGTTCTCATCAGATGGGAAGCTGCTTCTGGTCGGCTGTTCTGGAGGCGCTCACTACGTTCTGGATGCCTTCGAGGGTCACCTTCTCGCCAAACTCGAACTTCCTGACAATAACCTTGGGTTGGAACGGCGGAGACCGGAGGAGCGTATTGGGATTCAACCTCAACGCGGTTGCTCAGGCGAGGAAGTTTCTTGGACACCAGACAGCCGCTTCATCGTCGGTGGCGGACTCGATGGGCGCGTATCAATATGGGACGCAGGACAGATTCAACCTCGCGATAATCCAGATCCGAATACGCCACCCTTACGCCTGCAACCTCTTACAAGACTAGATGGGCATCCCGGGCCCGCACGATGCGTGCGCTTCAATCCTCGGCTGGCCATGATGGCTTCTGCAGGCCACGAATTGGTACGTTTACTGCTCTCTCCTTTCCCTACCCTCACTCACTTGATGCGCAGGCGTTCTGGCTACCTGACCAGACTGCGGACGCGGAGGAACTTGCGAAGGAGTTGTTGAAGAAGTAAGGATTGCCTAGACTCTCCTCTCACCTTCATGAGCGCTTTGCGCCTGGCCAAACTGTACTAGCGTGTTCCACTCTTTCTTGCATCCGCGTCATGGATATTTTTGTGCAACAACACGTTTTGTTCAGAACACTTGGGTTACGGGTATATTATGCTCTTCCATCCCAGATGGGCTCCGCAGACCTCACGTATGGCGCGTCATGCACCGCTCTGGTTACGCCCGAACTGTCTTCCAGCCTTTCAATCTCCCCTAGGGCTGCCTCGTTGCTGGTCATGAGCCTGTCTACTAGCTTTAGGGACAGCCTTCCCCCACAGACTCATAGGCACGCAGATGCATTTCTCGTGCTCATGAAGGCATGGACCGCCCCTTGAGTCGACGAGACCTCATCATCGGTCGGCCGTCCCTTGCAGGTTCCCACCTTTAGAGTCTCGTTGCGACGCCACCCTCGTGTTCTGGAGCGTTGCGTAGGCCTGAGATGCCTTTCCCCCGGCTCCGCGTATGCATGACCAGCGCGTCGGCAACAGAGTGTGCAACTTTGAGTGCGAGTATGCGATGACGTCACGCGTCACCTATTTATGGACGCGTCTTTGCGCTATATGTACTCTCCGCCTGTCACTTGTGCAGCAATCGAGCGACTTTCGCCCTCTCTCATCTACTTACCACGGTCGCCGCCGCCCTTCACCATGTTGTCCAAGGTGCCGCCGTCGCGTCGTGCATAGGTCGACGCGTGTATTGACTGTTCATATCTAGCACATCGACCCCGACCACCTCATCCAGCAGGCGCGCGTACGTCTACCTTAAGATCTTGTGGCACGTCGTACCCGTACTGACCTCTTGATCTAGGACAAAGAGACCAGCAAGAAGACCGCGCACGCGCATCTTCTTACACAAAACGACCCAAACACCCAGTCCCACACCTACGGTGCGCGTTACGGCACTTCCTCGTTCCCCAAGTTCAAGCTTCCGTCCACGGTGAGTCCATGGCGCGATCTTGTTGCGAGCGAGCGCGCTTACGATGGTGATTGCGGGCCTGCAGGGTATCGATGCGGATCAGGCGTACCAGATGGTGCACGATGAGCTCTCGCTCGATGGCTCGCCGCTGCTCAACCTCGCCTCGTTTGTGCACGTATGGATGCCCGACCCGGCTATGAAGCTCGTTCAGGAGAGTGCGTAGGCACAGCTGCCTACTTCTGAGAAGTGCTTCTCTGACGTCGTGGGCGCAGACATCAGCAAAAACCTCATCGATCAAGACGAGTATCCGATGACGCAGGCCATCCACACGCGCTGTGAGACCGTTCTCAGCCTTCTATTCCGTCCACGCTCTCATGCGCGCTACATCATTCAGGCATCTCGATCTTAGCTGACCTGTGGCACGCGCCCGCGGCTTCCAAGGCCGTCGGTACCGCAACGACTGGCTCCTCCGAGGCGATTCAGCTCGGTGGTCTCGCCATGAAGCGCATCTGGCAGGAGAAGCGCAAGGCCGCTGGCAAGAGCATTCACGAACCTGGCCCGAACATCGTCATGGGCGCCAACGCTCAGGTCGCACTTGAGAAGTTCGCGCGCTATTTCGAGGTAGAGTGCCGCCTCGTGCCGATCTCCGAGGAGAGCCACTATCGCCTCGATCCCAAGAAGGCGATGGAATACGTGGACGAGAACACTATCGGTGTCTACGTTATACTCGGCAGCACTTACACCGGTCACTACGAGCCGGTGAAGGAGATGTCTGACCTTCTCGACGAGTACGAGGCCAAGACTGGTATCTCTGTGCCCATCCACGTTGACGGTGCCTCCGGCGCGTTCGTTGCACCATTCACGAACCCGAAGCTCGAGTGGGACTTCAAGATTCCGCGTGTAGTCTCGATCAACACTTCCGGCCACAAGTTCGGTCTCTCATTCGTCGGTGTCGGCTGGGTCGTCTGGCGCTCGCACGAGTACCTGCCTAAGGACCTAATCTTCGAGCTGCACTACCGTGAGGCTTTTACACTTCGCTATCATCTCGGCCTAGACTGACATTTGCGTAGTTGGATCCGTCGAGTACTCGTTCTCGCTCAATTTCTCTCGTCCCGCGCACCCTATCATCGCGCAGTACTTCAACTTTATTCACCTTGGCTTCAAGGGCTACCGCGATGTCGCGCTCGCGGACCTGAAGAACGCGCGCACGCTTTCACGCGCTCTCGAAGCGTCTGGTTACTTCACTGTGCTGAGCGACATCCACCGCCCTGCTAATCCTGAAGCTGGTGCACTCCAGAAGGCCGTGCAGACGTTCAGGAGCACCGACGTCGAGGTAAATTGGATGATGCGACTGTATAACTT